TTGAAGGTCAAAGGTTCTGCTCGAATGGGAATGTCAGGGAAACAATAAGGTGTCAGTACAGACTAGGAGGCTTCTAACAGTGCATATAGCAGCCTGAGAGCATCACCTAAATGCACTATGTACATCTCTTTCTGAACAATGCACCTGGTAACTTGTTAGCAACCTGGGAGCCCTACATTGGGCTACAACATCCCCCATGCTGAACAATGTAATGAGTTTCTTTCCCCTTAACAACCACCAAACTTACATTCTTCTATTCGATCACAGCCCGGGCTGGTTTTCTGTGAAAGCAAAAATGAAGCAAATTGTGACCTCAAAGTGAACTTTTAGGAACAATCTCCTATTTACCACCTTCCGCTTATGCATTCATAGGCATGCATATGATTAAAATCAGACGTATTATGGGAAGAGATTTATGAGACAGAGAAATGGTTACATAACTTGATATGCCAATCAAAATAAAGAATCACCAACTACATCCATAGCAAGCAAACTTGTATCCCCAAACAATAACCAGATCCTGTGAGTACCCTCATTTAGGTGGTCTGTTGTCAATCTAGACAGTGTATTCCTTTCTAATTCAAAACACTAGCCCTTTGTTTTGAATAATGTTTCCATGACACTCTGTGACCTATATGCACCCTGATTTCAATTCCTTAAATAAGAGGTCAAGAACCTTAAAGCACCCAGCCCTAACCCTGACAGCCTTGGTAGCAGAAGCCCAGGTGTCACAAATCCCAGAAATCTGAAAGAACTCATGACTAGAAGGACAAGACTGAGCTGTGGAATAACGGGCTTCCTTTGCCCCTCCCCATGCCATATCTACAAGCCTGCTGGCCCAAGATATGACACAAGGCAACATTTAAAAGCTATCAACCTGCTACTGAGGCTGTGGACCCTTTGGATAGAATACAGGAGAGCATAAAACTGGAGTGAGATTTTTAACTGCTCTTTGGCCCCAGCGTTAGGTGGAAGTGTCCATTTCATCATGGCTGTTTTTCTCCAGCAGTAAGTTTCCATTTCTCTGAAATGTAGCCCATTTCCCCTCACATGCGGTGAGTCTCTCTGTAGCTGTTACAGCACAAATAGCAAGGAGGGAGGGGTACCACTCCTACCCAGCCAAACAAGTTACTTCTGTGATCCTGGACAAAGACAGAGGCCCAATTCTTGCTACACAAGGGGTGCAGAGACACCTTCAGACATCTTCAGGTGGGAAAAGAGAGGGAGATTGCTGGGTGGGACACCCTAAACTCAAATAAAAACCCAAACTCTTTCAGAGTTGGGGCTCTCCCCAGCTCTGGAGGATGGGGGCTTCTCTACTGGACACATCTGTAATGCTTGCTAGTAAACTCTCACTTAGAGCCACGCATTTTCTTGTCTTTGATTTCTTTAATTGATGGCAAGCAGAACCCCCATTAGCTGGTTGTCACTGCACCCTCCAAATAAAACACGGTTTAAAGAATCAATTGTAGGAAAGAACTGACCATTGTTTTTCTAAACAGAAAGAATGAAACTGGCTCCTAATGACTCATGGCTATACCTGTAGATAAATACATCTCACAGCCCTCATCGGAGAAGCTGCTTTCTGTAGTAAATGATGGGCCATTGTAGAAGGGAAAGACAGAGGGGGGCAAAGCAGGCTGCAAATGAATTGAAGAAGTGAGGAAAATGGGTGGACTTTAATTAGGGAGAGCGAGAGGGATAAAAATAGAAAAAGGGAATGGGTAGGGTGAAATAATAGCAAGGGTGTCTGAAAAGTCAGACTATTAACTACCTACCTAAAATAGCTGTGATACACATAAGACAATGTATAAATATACAGATGTAATTGAAATAAGATGTTCCTGGGTTGACAATGCTTCCTCCAAAGCTACAGACCACCTAACAAAAACCCCAACACCAGTCATGAGAAGCCCACTTCTGAGTTGTTGTTCAGCATTGTTCAAGAGACTCCCAAAACATTACAGGCTATTGGTGTTGCCCCTGTTCACACACACACCCCAGAGGTAGAAGGTAAGTCACTATTGCTGAAGGCACCGTGTGAGATAGTTTGAAAAAAAATGGCCTCCATCGGGAGTGGCACTATTAGAGGGTGTGGCTTTCTTGGAGTAGGTGTGGCCTTGTGGGAGGAAGTATGTTCCACCCCAGCCCCTGGCATCCATATACCCAAAGAGTCTGGGATGCTCTGGTGGAAGCTTCACCCCCAGCCCCTGGCATCCATACACCCAAAGAGTCTGGGATGCTCTGGTGGAAGTTCCACCTCAATCCCTCTCCCCCATTTCTCTTTCTCCAAACCCTGTCTTATCCCAGAAAGCCCACCAAACATGGCTCCTCCCCCGGAGATGCTGAAGACCACTCCCATGGGGTATTTAAACTACCCCCCAGAAAACAGACATGTGGCTTTTCAGTCTCTCTTCCCTGTTTCCTCTCTGGAGTGGAGGGCATCATCTGGAAGCATTTTAGCTTTTTATAATTCAGTTTGATTTGGATTGCTGCATTGGCCGAGAGGCTTATCACAGTGCAGAAACTTTTCAAAGTGTGTCCCTGTGGGAGGGAGCTTTGAAGTCTCCTATGCTCCAGACACACAGTTGCTTCTGCTACCAGCAGATCAAGATGTAGAACACTCAGTTCCTTCTCCAGTACCATGTCTGCCTGCATGCCACCATGTCATGCACCATGATGATAATGGATTAACCCTTTGGACTGTAAGCCAGCACCAATTAAATGTTTTCTTTTGTAAGGGTTCCCACTGTCTTTGTGTCTCTTTATAGCAATAGAAACCCTAAGTGAGACACATGTACTTAAGATCTAAGGCCCAGATGCACCCCCCCCCCAGTTAGATCTGACCTGAAAGCCTCCTCCCTTGTTTGGCACAAGAAGGCACCAAGTAAGCTTCCAAAGGAGGGAGACAACCAATAGTCTACCTAGCTATGATGTCCATGAACCATAACAGTGACTGGTATGGCTCAGTAACCCCAAAGGTGCAGTAGTGGGATGCATACCTTGGAAATAACAAACAGTTCCCTAATTGAGCTTACAACCCACCCAACAAGAGGGAAATCGTGTCTACTACTAGAAACCTAGCCAACTACCCAAGGCTAATGAAGTCATGGATCTTAGAGAAGAACCTGCAACTTCCATTTTACTAAACCAACATAATCACTAACTACATTCTAAATATTTGTTCTTATACCAACAGATAAGCTTAGTCCTCTCCCCTCATCAAGGAAACTGCTCTTTGCAATAGACGGAGACTATTACAGAAAACATTCACAACCAATCAAAATGCAGAGTTGCAGAACCCAGTCCCAAATGACACATCTACAATACAACTCTTACACCTAAGCCTCAGAAATCATTGTGGAAAAGAGGGCAGAAAGAGCTGTGTAAGAGCTGGGGGAACAGGAAGTTTTCTGTGAGATTGTGTGACAGGGCAAGACAATGCAGAGTTTCCTCCATCTTGAGCTTTTGCTGAGGATATTTCAGGTCTAACTAGAATTTCATCTCCTTGATGAAGAATCCCATGGAAAATTACCTAGCTCCACTCTAGGAACCAGATGTCAGGATGTCCTAGCTAAGTTAGCTCCTGTTAGACTGCCTGTTTGTGCAGTACCCCCTCCAGCTAACTGCTTATCTTAGCTTCTGTTAAACTGCTTGCTTCTACAAAGCTCCCCAGCAGCTACAGAGAAAGATGCCAGCATAGAATTTTGTTCTTTGGCATTTTGGGGGAAGGGTTGCCTTCAAAAGCCCTGCGTTCTAAACACTTGGGGCTATACCTAGGTCCCCAAATATTTCGGTGTAGTCCCAGATGGCTGGAATAAAGACTTTCAATTGGCTGCAAACTGTGCCTGAGTGATCAACTCTGGTGATCTACTCATAACAATTGTGTCTCCTAGAAATGTCAGAATCTATACCCATGAGATCTCACCAATATGACTGCCCTAATATAAGCTAAACAAGGACAACACCAATAGACGTGCTAATATGGACAAGGGAAATCTCATAGGGTCTCAGCCATACACAAAGAACTACAAGCAACTAAGGAATGCTGAGCACAGCAATTGGTTATCCAATACCAAATGGTCAGCCTGAAGACATACATACACTTAATGTTATATAGGCCAATCTGTTTGTATTTTCGTATTTAGGAATACATATATGCATATAATATGTATATGTAACTTATAAATGTATATATGGGAATATATTATTGTATAATTATAATAATTAAAGAAAAAGAGACCATGAATTTGAAAGAGAGCAATATAGGAGTATGTGGGAGGGTCTGGACGGCAGAAAGGGAAGAGTGAAATGAGTAACTAAATTATCTCAAAATATTTTTTAATTTTAAAAAATAAAACAATTGCTGGGAAACAAAAGAGGAGGCAGCACTACTTGGAAGAGTCTCACTCACCTATCAAGCTGGCCAGAAGTTGAGCAGAGAGCTCCCAGGTTGCCACATCTGTGAGCTGTCACTTGTGGTGAGGTTGGCTTTCAGTGATGCAGCCGCCTGTGAGTCATCTCACTCCTGTAAGTGACCCTTCACCCATGCACCTAAGTAACCCCAAAAAACTCATTGGCTGGCCACTTCAAACTTCATTGTGATTGTTATTTTGGTTCCCTATCTTGGGTGAATAGACATTTGTGTTGCATATTCCCAGGAAAAATCTCACATACCTTAACAGAGAGCCTGTCAAGGAGAATGTGGCAGAATCCATGGGCTACAGTAAACCAAGAAGGGGGTGTGATCTCATGGCAAAGGGTGGGTAGTAATTACATCCTAGCTCCATTCTGACCTTTGACCTAAGGGATAGCTGCTAAGTCAATAGTGACCTCACAATCACTCTCCAAGCCTTCAGTCCCCGAGGACAACATCCATCTGCTTCTTTATCATTACATCCAAAGGACACACACTGGCTCTGAGTCACCACACCAGCAGACCCAGGGATTAAGAGAAAAGAGTGGCAGGCTCTCCTGTAGGGCACAGCTAAGACATCATCATGTCAGATAGCTTGGAAGACTTAAAGGATCTGATGCCCACTGAGAGGAAGTCCATGTGGAGGACACCTGAGGAAAGGCGGATGTCTGACCTCACCCGGGTGCTGGAGTGGCTGGAGAGGAGGCAGGGCAAGAAGAAGCGTGCCCTCCAGGTGTGTACATTGGAAGAATTAGCTGGAAGATTTTATGCAAGATTATTAGCAGAGAGAATTGGAATTCGACACCCCAAAACAAAGGGGGCTCATTTTTCAAACACTGGGGTAAGCCAGTGGGGGATTCCTGGATGTGAAATCACTCACATCACTAAGCTGTTTGTTTCCTAATGGCAATTGTCAAAGATGGGGTTACAATCTTTCCTGGTGGCCATATTTTAAGGGGTGGCTCCAGGTCATTGAGAAAGATGCTTCTCTATAGAAAATGTAGGAAGAGAACAATGGATTTCTATTTCAGAGGGGGAGAGAGAGAGAGATTGACCAAATACAAGTGTTCGGAAGTAGACACTCTCGAAGGCAGTCAAGTCAGAGTCTGTGATGAGGAAGGAGTCTGCCATTAAGTCAAACTCTGGGCATTGCTAGTGTCGGTCAGTGTTGGAAACAGTCATGGGCACTAGTTTATGGAGTCTCCATGCAGGCAAATCAGGAGCCATCCCACTGTCCTCAGCCTTCTCTTTTCTCCTGATAGCTCCAGGATAGATCATTCATTCCTACTGCTATTCCTCCACTGAGACTCCTACTAGCATATACCGTATTCCTCTGCCCCTTAAGGGGCTGTTCTCCCCAGCCCATTCCTCTTTCATGGGGAGTTCTTGCCTTTTCCCTCAGAGTTTAGGTCCCCTGGGTCCATAATTTGTGAAAATCAAGTCAGGCCTATGGAAGATGGTACCCTCTCCAGAAGATATTGAGCTCCCACATCCCCTAGCCACAGAGGATGCTTAGATCCTATGGCCTCTTGTCCCAGAGCACATGGGTGAAGAGATCATGACTAGGGACAGCACTCATCCTGTAGCTAATCTTTACTGTCATCCACTGCTCCTAGCCAAGCTATAAGGCCAGAATCATGATTACCCCAGCTGGAAAAAAAAAAGAAAGAAAAGAAAACAAAAGGAAACAGACGAACAAAGGTCACAGCAGTAATAAAGAACAGAGCAATATCTACAATTAAGATTTATTCCGTTCCCATGTGCCTGAGCTTTGTTGGGCCAACTCTTCACAGCTACCTCCACTCTCTCAGCTCCACACCGTGCCCCCCCCATGCTTGCCTGCTCATCGGTTAACACAGAACAGAAGGAGCTGGCACCATCTCCCTCAGCCTGTGCTGAGCATTCCTCTCTAAATGGTCTCTGGTTGCCTGCTCCTCCCATCATCTGGGGATGAGGGCAGTGGGGGGCTGGCTGCTGGATCTCTTGGAATTCTGCATCAGTCTTGGGAACTCTGTGTCATGGTTCATAGGTCCCTATCTCCTTTCAAAGAGATTATACTCTAGCATTTCAGAAGCTTTGTCTTACATGTGGCTTCCTATAAGTAATTTGAAACCTAGGGAGGAAACAAATTTACATTTAAACACAAATCTCCATCTATCACATCCATCACCATGTGCCACAGAATCATCTGGATTCCTAGAGAAGAGTAACAGGTATTTTGTGGTAGGAGACCCTTGGGTCTTGGTTTCTCCCTCAGAGAGTCCAGTCTGCAACCCTAACTTTGCCTCTCATTAAGTGGTTTTCTGAGCACTGTGACAACATGTGACATAAACAACTGATGGGAGGGAAGGTTTCTTCGGGCCATGGTTCCAGTGGGTTCAGGCCATTTTGGTAGGGAGGATGCAGTGGAGATGAGCAGTTCACATCATGGCAGCAGGAAGAAGAAAAACACCAGAGAGGATCCCTAAAGACATATCCCCAGGGACCTACTTCTCCCATTGGGCCCTAACTCCCACTTTCTTCACATCTCTATGAATTTATCCAGGGATAAATCTTGATTGGGTCGTATCCCACAGGATCTGATTGTCTCTGGAAATTCTACACACACACACACACACACACACACACACACACACACACAGCTGTGTGCTCTGCTAACCTCCGTGATTCCAGTCAAGTTGGCAGTTCTGACTAACCAGCATGAACCCCATTCCACTGCTTATGATGCTGCTGGTACTACGGACTCCACTTGAACTGAAGAACCCTTTTGGTCTATAGTCTTCTTGGTGCAGAAGACTTTATTAGTGTCAGCTTCACGTTACTTGGGTCCAAGGCTTTACTACATCACCTTCCCAGCATTCCCTCAAATGGGCATTAATAGAACTCTTCTGAGTGCCCACATGAGGACACAGGTTCCAGAGTGGGGTGCAGCTTGGAGGAGGAAGTACCCTACCCCTTACTCCACCTGCAAACCCAGCCTTGGCCCAAACTCTGACTCCTTTTCCCACCAAACAGAACAAAACCATGCTGGCATGAACCAGCTGCCCACCTTAGAAGGCAGCTTGATGACTTCTGGCTTTGGATACCATGCTGGATAGCTTTTATGTCAATATGACACAAGCCAGGACCATCTAGGAAGAGGCAACTTCCACTGAGAAAATGCCTCCATCACATTAGCCCATAGACAAGTATGTGGGGCTTTTTATTGATTCCTGATTGTTGTAGAAAGACTGGCACCAGCATCCTGTATGGTATAAGAAAGCAGGCTGAGCAAGTCGTGGAGAGCAAACCAATAAGCAGCACTCCTCTAGACTCCTGCTCGAGTTTCTGCCCTGAAGGGATGTATGATGGACTGTGATAGGGCCATCGAGATGCCACATCTAAGCCACATAAACCCTTTCCATGCTTTTAGTCATGGTGTTTTATCAATAGAAACCGAACTAGAACAGAAACACTAGAAAACCTGAATTTTCAGAACTGCCCTCCACCAGCTCAGCAACCAGCCCACAGCCCTCTTAGGGGCATCCAGAGGTCAGTTATTACTCATGTGACCTAAACAGAGCCACAGAGATCAGGCATTTGCTCAGGATAGTGCAGTCACTGAGCAAGTGACAGATGAGATTTCCACAGGGTCAGGGTGGCCTGGAGCTGAAAGCCCAAGCCATCTAAGCTGAGGAACTGCAAGTGGCACACCCTCTGGGAAAGAGATCAACCCAATCTCTCTCACCATAGTTCAGTATCCTTGATAAGGCTGGATGGACAACTTCTCAGGTGGTGTCATCCTTAATGTGCCCTGCTGGGCTATTTGTGCCTGGAATCTTGGAGATCCGCAAGAACTGTCCTCCCTGCTCCTACTGTGGAACAGCCAAGCCATCACAGGCCACAGACAACTCAATTCACAGCAGGACTACTCAATCATCAGCAGATTTCAGGGCCCACAGAAAAAGCCAGGCACCATGGCCACCTTAAACCTTAGCACTGGAGGCTGGAAACAAACAGATCCTGCGGGCTGCTGAGCTCTGTGCTCAGAGACTCTGTCTCAAAAATAAGGTTGAGAAGATTTAAGGACAACTGGATGTAAATCTCTGCCTCCCACATGTACTAGTGTTCACAAGCATCTGCGCATACACATAAGCATGTACACACACACACACACACACACACACACACACACGTCATTCTGGAATGTTGACAAAGATCCTAGGGATAGATGCTAGGGTTGTTCGGAAGTCAAGAGAAGGGAGGGGACAAGAGTCTACAGTGTAGGTAGTAAGAGGTGGTTTCCCACATGCCAGGAATGTTCTCCTATTTAGGGACAGTGGATGGAACCCTCACAGGTTGGCTGCAGAGCTCTTTCTCCTGCCTTTTCAGAAAAAGATGGAGGAGAAAAATGTTGCAGAAGAGAAGGTAGGAAAGAAAACCTCAGGTGCTAAGAAGAAGCCTGACAAAGAGGGCCACAGAGTGACCTTCAGCAAGGTAATCACCCCTCCGCCTCTCCCCGCAGCTGCTGCTCTGCTATGGTGTCTTGCCACATGGTTTATGAAGATCCCTTGATGCCTCTTTGCCCTATAATGATAGCCCAACAAATGAGTCTCCCACCCTGTGCTGCTTCACCAAACAACCCCTACTTTCCCAGGGTCTCACCTTCCTCCATCCACGTCCCTCCACACTCAAGGATGCCAGAGCCTACAGAGCCATGAGAGCCCTCAGCCCAGGGGTACTACAGGGTACCCCAGACCTGCCTGCAGGCATGGGCTGCATGTACCCCTAGGAGCTAAGGAGAAATAAAAGTGAAGTCTCAGTAAGTCAGCAGAGAGGGCACTCCTGCCCCCCCTCGAACTCTTCCTGAGCCCAGGACGGCTCCTTGAGCCCATTGTGAAAATTTCTCAGTTTGGGTTTGGAGGATACTGAGCATAATTTCTCTGCTGACTCCAAGAATCAAGATCCAGGTGTCAGCAAGAAGTCCGCTACTGGCTCCTCCAAGGGGCAGGGAACGGGCAAGCGTGCAAACACGGTGTCTAACAACTTCAACAAGGACAGCTATAAGAAGTCAGGTAAGGAAAGAACCTGTGCCCTGGGGTACCAGAACTGTCCTCCCTGTTCCATTTTCTCAGAGACGGTGAAGAGTTGCCTGTCCATGTCAATTGAAACCTGTGTCCTTGGGGAATCACTCCCAGGGTGGCATTTGACAATCTTGGAATGCCCTGGATGAGAGGGAGTGGTTGCTAAACTCCACTTATCCACAAATATTCTCAGGAATCTGTCACAATGTGCTGATCCATCTGCAACTATTTTGGTGACACTACCTTCGTGAGTTCCAAATGTCCTAAGTTAAACACTGTGACAATGTCTACTACAGAAGGTACCATCCTGGTGACCTAACATCTGCCAAGTAGTGTCCATCCCTAGACAGGCCCAAGTTACAGTTCATAGTCCTGCTCCACCATTCAGTTATATCATTCCAGCCATACCCCCAGATCTGGGGCTAGATTTGTCACATAGAAAATACTTCCTCTGTAGTGTGGCTGTGGGACTGCAGTAATGGGGGGCCTGTAAATCATTTTGACACAGAAGTGCTCAGTAAGGTGATGCTAAAGGGTTGGAAGACAGATACACTTAGCTTTGGGTGTGCTTGGCCTCTTGAAACATGAGCTTATGGTAAAAGTGGAATCTAGAAGGCATTCCTACCTGCCCATGTAGAAAGTGGGCAGGAGCTTGGAGCAAGAGTCACCCAGATGTCCCTTTGTGTCCCAAAACAAAAACTTTTCCCATCTTTTCATTTAGTACACCAAAGCCATGGTATGCGCACTGAAGTCTCTGGTCTGTCACGGTTCAGTATGACAGAGGACCTGTGGTGCTAAGAGCATTAGGGGACTCTGAGTTGAACCCACAGCATCACATTAATGGGACATTCATCTAATCCAAAGAAGCACTGCAAAATGTCAATAATAGATCCCTTGCTTTTGGTAAAGGCACTGTGGTTATGAGATAGGAGCATTCGAGAAAACTGAGTGAAGGGTGCTAGATGCCCTCTTCATTTTCTTTGAAACTATTCTAAATTGTTCCTATTATATAAAGTTATATAAATTCTTAATTATTCTAAAATTTTTATTAAAAAGTTACTATAAAAATAAGATCAAGATGAAAGCTCCATACTTCAGCCATACTCTCTGTGACTCCCACTGTCACTGTCACGACCGTGCTGGCCCCATTGGGTTTGTGAACTTCCTTAGACCTTGCTTCCAGCAGAACCTCCTTCCCCCTGCTTCCTGAAGCTTAGATGCACAGTAGCCTTGCTACTCATTCCTTCCCAGACTCTTCACAGGAAGCCTTTGTGTGTGAGCACACTTCACTGAAACTTTTGGGGTCAGCAGAGACTAAGAATCACATCACAGAGGAACAGCACATACAAATCGGGGGCTGGTCAGGAGACCCCACTTTTATTCTTCAGAATCTTTTGTCTCCTGACATACGCCTCAAAGGTGTTCTCAGCTGCACTTGCCAGCAAGGAAAGCTTCCTGGGGTTTCCTGAAAGTTCCAGGCAGAGAGTAGAGTGAAGCAACTGGAGGCTCTGGTATTCATCACTGATGGAGAGCAGAAGCCTGCTTAAGGCACCTCTGTCGTAGCTCCAATCTTCGAAGGCTCTTATTCCCCTCTTTCCTCCACCCTTGCCTCCACCTCCGCACTCCCCACCCCTCTAATTGCCACTGGCTTTTCACTTACTCTGATCTTTGTTTCTTCTGTCTCATTCATACAGTATGCTATCAGCTCTGATTTTTGTTTCTTCTGTCTCATTCACAGAGGATGCTATCAAGACATTTCCCTAAACAAAATCAGTCCCTTCCCTATAGGAACCTCCTAGCAGTGGATAATTTCACCTCAGTGTACAAGATGTAAACATGAAGGTTGGCTTGCAGGCAGTTTGATCCTCTGTTGTCCTTTTTATTCTCTTCCTTGCCATCTGAGACAAATTTCCCGTATCTGGGAATGGAGAAGTAGTCTTGCTTCTTCTGATGTAACAAGCCATAGCCACTGCAGGGGAGTAAATGGGCCTAGACATCTAAGAAACACCTGCACCTGTCTACTGTTGGCATCCAGAACTAAGTCAGGCTGAGCTGAGCCACATTGCAGACATCTTCCCCATGCAGTCTTGCATGCTACCTCAGACAAGCAGGCAGGATCTGAACCAAGAGACATGATCCTTGGAGTAGGCAAGGTGCCAGTTACATGCCCAAATCCCATTGCTAGTTTGAACTCTACTGACTCAACAAGCTTCACGTGCCTTCACCTCAGAGGACAGTGTAATTGCCTGAGCAGAAAGAGATTCTCTTGGTGTCCCTTCTCTTTCAATCTTCATGGCCTAGACTGGTGGCTTCTCTTTATGCCTTCATCTGTTTCTCTTCCCTTCGTCTCCACTACTGTCATCACAGTCTGCCCTTAGTCCTCCACTGAACAATCCTCTTGCAGCTTTGGTTTCCATGGCTGCCACATTCACCTTCCTAACTAATTTGTGTATTTATGTTTAATGTGATTTTCTTCATAGCCTTGCCATAGAAAAATAATAAAACTCTAATGATGGGTAACTTACCACAAAGAAATGGAGATCAGTGAACTGACTGAAAAACAATTCAGAACAATTTTCTTAAAGCTTCATGAACTATAAGGCAACAACCATCAGAGAAGCTTCTTCCTTCAGTAAATGGGAGCTAATGCAGAGACCCACGACTAGACAATGTACATAGAGTGCCTCGGAACACTTGATCCTAAATGGGATGTCTCCATCAAATCTCTCCCCTTGGGGGTCAGGGAGCTATGTAGAAGATGAGATGGAAAGGTTGTAAGAGCCAATGACAATGGAGGATACCAAGGAAACAAGGCCCTTTAGACACAGTGACTGACAAATATGTGAACTCACAGAGGCTGAGGCAGCATGCACAGGGCCTGCACAAGTCCAAGCCAGAAGGGCTCCCAGTATCTAGAGGGCAAAGTGGACACAAGCTTCCATCCCCAACCAAGAAGCTATCTCCATTTGATAACCATTTGCAAAGGAAAAATAAGTTTTTCCAATGAAGTCTCACTGGCCATATAAACCACACTGCAGGCCCCAGCAGTATATGACCAACACAAAATGAACTCAATGGTACTATTGGAGACGGGTTTTTTGTCTCATAATTATTGCTTTGTCTGGGAATTTTTTACATTACTGGTCTTTTGCTTGTATGTTATGTTTTTTAATTTTGTGCTTTTATGGGTTCTATTTGGGCGGGTGGGTGGGTGGGAATGTATCCCATGCTTTTCCTGTTTTGTTTTTTCAAATTTGGGGGTTTTATTTTTCCTTTTTGATTTCTAAAGAGAGAGAGAAAGAAGTTGGATGAGCAGGGAGGATCTGGGAAGTGTCTGAGATGAGGGAGAAGAAATTGTGATCAGAATACATTGTATGAAAACATCTTCAATTAAAACAACAGGATACTAAAAAACAAAACAGGCAACAACATGAGATTAGGGGGAGTATGTTTGAATAAAATGAGAAGTGAAGCATAGAAACAAAAACACTTTTTAAAAAACAAAAATCAGGGACTGAAGAGATGGCTCAGTGGTTAAGAGCACTGGCTGCTCTTTCAGAGGATGGAGGTTCAATTCCCAGCACCCACATGACAGCTCACAACTTTCTGTAACTCCAGTTTCAGGGGACCTGACATACTTGCAAAATACCAATGTACATACAATAAAAATGTCTATTTTTAAAAAAATCAAAAATCTAAGGACTCGAGGAGCACAGTGACCTACAATGCAGCATTTGGACAGCATAACCAATGAAATAGAAGAATCCTCAATTCAAAGACACTTTTGAAATAACCTAGTAAGAAGGACAAACAGAAAATTCAAGAAAATAAAATAACATATGCAGCGTGGATATCTGGAAAGGAGAAGAAAGACCAGGAGACGATCATCTAAGAAATAAATGAATGAAGCAAGGTGGTGAGCACCTGTAATTCAGCACTAAGGAGGAGGTAGAGGCAGGCTGATCTCTATGAGTCGTAGGCCAGCCTGGTCTATATAGTGAGTTTCAGGCCAGCCAAGGCTACATAAAGACACCATCTCTCCAAACAAACAAGAAATAAATGAATAAAAACTTCCAAAATTCAGGGAGAGAAAAATCTTTGAATCATGGGGTTCCAAAACATCTATACCAAGACATATTAAATCCCAAATCTATGCAGAGAGTTTGAAAGCAACAGAAAAGTAACTCTTCATACTCAGAGAGCTTCCATAAGACTATGAATTTCTAAGTGCAAATGCTGTAGACCAGAACACAGGTAGAAGACAACATATTCAAAATAATGACAGAAGAAACAGCTGATACCCCAAAATACTATACCTGGGAGAGCTGTAAATTAGAAATGGAAGAGACACTGTGGTGGTGGTGGTAGTGCATGCTTTTAATTACAACACTTAGGAGGCAGAAGCAGGTGGAACTCCAAGCTCGAGGCCAGCCTGGTCTACAGAGCAAGCTCCAGGACATCCAGGTTTACACAGAGAAGCCCTGTCTCAACAAAAGAAAAGAAAAGAAAAGAAAAGAAAAGAAAAGAAAAGAAAAGAAAAGAAAAGAAAAGAAAAAAGAAAAATAAATGGAAGAGACAACCAAACATGGTAACACATGTCTGTAATCCCAGCACGCAGGGGCTGAACTCAGTCACAAGCCAAGGCCAGCCTAGGCTACATGTGACCCTATCTCCGAGAAAAGGGGGTGAGGGTAATAGGTATTTTCACAAATGGGCAAAATTTGATAGAGTTCATCCATAATACAACCAGAAGATGTTTCTCAACAGAAATAAGAGGCTTTGCATTAACAACATACTTATTAATGAATGTAAAAAAAAGAAAATCTTCCAGCTAACTAACTATATAGTCAAACTCAGAATTCTGTGGCATAGTAATGGTTGTTTTTAAGTCATGTCCAAGGCTAGAATGAAAGTTCAAAGGTAAACATCTTTTTTAGATTGAACTATGCATTCTTGTGTGATGTGTAGTCCACATGTGGGTATGTGTGATGCCTGAGGTGTCAAGACATGTCAGATTCCCTGGAGCTAGCATTACAAGTATTTGTGAGACCACCACATTTGCGGTTCCAGGAACCAAACTCAGTTCCTCTGCAAGAGCCGTATGTGCTCTTAACTGTGAAGCATCTCTGCAGCCCAAGATCAGACATCTTAAAAGCTACAACTGTGATATATAATTATATCTGCTAAGGGCAATGTTTTTAAATATTTTTGTCTTTTATAATTGACTGCATAATATTACTATATAGTTACACTAATCATAGAACGTATCAAGTTATTATGCTTCTTCCATTGTGTGGAAGTTCATTTTAGGTCATATATTTGTTATCTTGTGTGTCCAATAAACAATTTTATGTTATTTGTAATTATAAAGTAGGGTTATTACTTCCTCCAAAAAAGGTTAATAAACTTCAATATATTTAGGGGAAAAAGTAACTATAATAATGAATGCACAAGATTAAGAATATAAAATTCTGGGCTTGGGGGATAGCTCAGTGGTAGAGCGCTTGGCTAGTACAGGAGGCTGAGATTCTATGCCCAGAACCACAGAGAGAAGCCATTTGTATGCCAGCAAGGCTAAATGTTAGGAGCTTAAAATAGGATGCTGTAACTGTCAGACAATTCAAGCAAGCCTCATGGTAGCCACAGAAGTTAAACCTGTAGTAAATATGCAAGATATTAAGAGAAAGGGATCAAAACATGCCACTGCAAAGTGTCAACACACAAGGGAAGACAGGAGGAGAGGAACAGAGGACATGCAAGCCATTTGAAGACAAAGTGACAATAGTAGGTCATTGTCCTTAAACACAAAAGGAAAGTCACCCCACTCCATTTTGTGTTGTGTAACAGCCATTCACTGGGTAAAAAAAAAAAGGGGGGGAGCTATTCATCTCATTTGGGAGGATGCAAGGCTCGATTGAGGATCAATTTTCCAACATCTGAATTTGGGGAGCACATTGAAACTATAGCATTTTCTAATCCAAACAGAGTCGCTGGATAGCTCAAAAATCTAGCTATGCTGCCCAAAGAGACTCATTTGAACTTTTAAGAGCACATATAGGCTGAAAGTAAAGGGCTGGAAGAAAGACACTCTGTGTCAGTGGAAAAGCCAGGAGATAGGTAGCTGTACTGGCATCAGATGAAATAGACCACGAAGGTTATTATATAACAATGAAGGGGTCAATTCTTCAGAAGACCTAACAGTTGTAAATATCTATGCATCCTGTGTTGGATCACCTGAATAGATAAAACAAATGTTAGCAGCACTGAAAGAAATAAATAGCAAGGCAATAATCATGGGGGACTTAATAACCTAAAGAGGGAGGAAATGATACATCATCTAGACAGAAAATCAATCGGGAAATAGCAGATTGGAAAACACAAGACCAATGGACCTAACAGATGCATACGGAACATCCTGTCTGTGCACCACCAGCAGCTGCCCATGCGTCTCAAACACGATGGAGACTCTCCAGGATAGAGCATTAGGTCTCAGATTCACAAAAGTGTCTTCTCTGCATTCAACCAGAATCGAAGGAACATGGTAAACCAAACAGTGCTCTTCTGAACAACCAGGATATCACAGAAGAACTCCAAAAGCACATGGTACGAATACGGAGGCACATGAGAGCGGAGGCACAGCATGACAAAGCTGGTGGGGAGGGGAGGGCTGAAGCCACAGGTACAGGTACCATGCTATGGAAAGAGAAAACTGCAAGCAAATGGGAAAAAAGAAAGCCCAAGTTAATAGAACAAAGTAAATAATAAAGATAATTATTACTATATAGATTCCAAGACAATAAAGTAATCAATGAAACTAGACGTTGATTTTTCAAGGAGGTAAGCAATTGATAAATCTCTAGCTAGACTCACAAAAAGGAGAGCTTTGTAAAATAAAAAGGAAAAAAAAGCCAAAGCCTACAGTCTACATTACAAATGCTGTAGAAGAGCAAAGGATATAGGGAGCGGTTATAACTGACTACATAGCAATAGGGTACTGCCTAAAAGACATTCCTGGAAACACGAAAGCTGTCAAAATTGAATCATGAAGAATCAGAACAATAGCAAGGAGCCTGGATCAATAATCAAAACCTGTCGAAGAAAGGCCCAGGGTCTGGGCTTTCATGGGGAGCCCTGTCAAAAGTTATGAGAATCAATGCGAATCCTTCTCACGCTTTTCTAAGATATGGAAGAGCAGAGACATTTATTTCCCAAGCCCATCTTACAACTATTTCCTGATGGCAAAGCCAGATAGAAAAGGCAGCAGGAAAAAGAACCCCACAGGACAATGCCCACAGTAAAAGCTGGCTTTAACACCTCACAAGAAGGATCTGTGCAGGATGACCAAGCACAAACCACCCCCCAACATGGAAGGAGGGTCAACACATGACAATCCACACACAGAGAGTGCTGCTCTAGCAGAATGAAGAACGGAAATGAGGTCAAATGTGATTTGCCAGAATTCAGCATTCTTTTATGATACATGCTCGAATAGGTCATAGGAAATTCACCTCAACAGAGTAAAGCCCACCCATGACAAACCCACAACTAAAATTACACTCTGTGAAGAGCTGAAAGATGTCCTTTAAGACCAGGAACAAGGCAAGGGTGTCCACTGGCCATTTCTGTTCACCATGATACTGGACATTCATGTCGAAGGTACAAGATAAAGTTGTTGGGTGTCAGGGTCTCTGAGACCTTCATGGATGACAAGCCAAGGGGGGCAAGAAGGCACTTGGGTTCAACACAACTCAGTAGCCAGTGTTGGTTCAAACTTCAGGAGGCTGACCCTGAGGCACATTTATATTTATGTGCTTATTTTAGTCATATTTGAGCACTGAACAATTTATATGAAGCGAGTGAAAACTATTCTGCAGATAATTAACTCAATCTTTCATGCACCACAAAGCACACACAAATCTCCTTGAGGAACAAAGTAAGCTAAATACATATCAGATATGATTTCATGGAAATGCTCTATGAAGTCCATAAAGATTGGTTCTATAGATTGAAAAAATAACAACAACAAAATTAGGACAAGGTTCTAGGGGAGGATCCAGTGCTGGAAAAGTCTCCAGCCACAGAGACAAGGTAAAGTTCACTAGGCTAGGAAGCAATCCACTGCAGCCTTCTGGGTGGGTTACAAGTTTTGCATTCCTTCCCTTGAAGGAACAATCCTCTGTGCTTAACATCCCGGGTTCCCCTAATGCTTGCGTGAGCACAAAGACCTCCATGCCCCTACACTTGGATCTAATACAGCATATTCATGGTGAGTATAGTCAGCAGGCCTGCATTACACACTTGAAGTTAATACATTATAGTAAAAAATAGTTTTATACACTTCACATTTGCTAAGAGAGTTGAGCTAAACTGCCTACACAAAGAATGTAACCACGGTTTTTGGGTTTGCTTAGCATTAGTTTGGAATTTGTTTCTAAAGGATTCTGTCTGTTCCTGCGCCCTTTGCTCCTGCCTCTATGGGTGATTTGGTTCCTGTCCCATCTTTCTTGGTTTGCCAACCATAACCTTGTACTGTCGTAATGACAGAGCCTGGCCTGACCATGCACCTGACTTCTCACAGCCATGTTCTCTTCTTGCCAGCCTAAAGGAACCAGTAAGAACACATTTCCATTTGTTGCCCTCACGGCCTCCATTTAATGATGTCAGCACCATTGTTCTCTGTGTGCCACAGACCCACAATGCATTGTTGGGATTTGGGGGTTTGGTTTTTTGTTTTGTTTTGAATACATCCAAACAAGACAAGTCTTTGCCTGCATTCCAAGTGTTCTCCATTCCTTTGCATAGATCTGGGATTCTGAATGGAGTCATTTTCCATCCCTTGAAGCTTGTAACAGATCTGAATAGGAACATGAATTCTTGCAGCCTTTGCATATCTGATGGGGTCTTTATTTCACCTTTGTGCCCTCCTGGCTGCCAGTCTTTCTTCTCCCAGGTTTCCGGCAGCCCCTCCCGCTGCTGGTCTTCTGCTTGCCAGTGGAGGCTGGAAGCTGGCCGTCCTCTGAACCTGAATGTACCTCATTCCTAGGCAATCTCTAAAAATGTTCCTCTGAACAGTCCCCAGTGCTGAGCCTCAAAGCCATTTGCTTCTTAATTCTTTTTTTTTTTTTTTTTTTTTTTCCTGGAACTTGCTCTGAAGACCAGGCTGGCCTTGAACTCACAGAGATCCGCCTGCCTCTGCCTCCTGATTAAAGGTGTGCTCTACCAACACCCGGCGCTTCCTAATTCTTACACTTGTGTGTGAGGTGTGCAAGGATTCTTCGCTTCTGGTTTATATCAAATTTGCAACATTTTAGCCATGATGTCTTTAATTTTATAGTTCCTCTCTGTCTTTCAGTCACACATACAGTTCCTCTGCTCACAAGTTTTGTTTTTCGGCCTTTTCTCTTCATGGACCATTTTGTGTAGTTTCTGTGGCTATGCTCCTGAAGCTCTAGTCCTCTCTTCTGCAATGCTCAATATTTAAATAGACATTTCTAGACTGGGCACAATGTGGCTCAACTAACTGGTAGAGTGCTTACCTAACATGCACAAAGTCTTAAATTTAGTCCTCAGTACCGTCCCATAGACCCAAGCATGACATCACACACCTGTAATCCCAACACTTGGGAGGTGGAGGGAGAAAGATCAAAAATTCAAGGTTATCCTCCTTTATATAGCATCAAGGCTAGCCTGGGCTACATGAGACTCCCTCTCCCAAACACAGATATATTCTTGTTCTGATCTATTTTTCCTTTCTCTTTTTCTTTAACTTTCTTTTTCAAGACAGGGTTTCTCTATGTAGCCCAGGCTGACCTGGAATTCACTCTGTAGATCAGACTGGCCTTGAACTCATTGAGATCCACCTCCCTCTGCCCAACAAGTGCTGGGATTAAAGGCGTGTTCCACCACCACCCAGCTCTGAGCTACCATTTCTATCACTATGTCCCTTCGTTCCCCCCAATGGCTGATGAGCACTGAACTGAGAGGGCTGTTCAACACTCCCAAGCAGACTGTAGAAACATCTGCTGCTGCTGTCTGGTTTTCCTGACACCGCCCACTTGTATTATCCTGGAAGGATGTACGTGTTGCGACCTGGGGAAGTCAGAGGTCTTACCTCTTTTGTTTCCTCTCACTGTCTCATGTTACCTGTTGCCCCATGTCTTAACACTGCAAACTCTTACAATGCCCAGGTTTCTAGTTATGTTGGAGAGTAAACATTCAACTTACTGTTTTCCAACCTTGGCTGAAAGTATAAGTCTCAGTTGAGTTTTCCAGAATATAAGCCTGTTTGAAATACAATGGCAACCTTGCTGCCTGTGACATTGGGTGAGCTAGCCTGGGCAGTGCTGGAGACTCATCCTGGTGGTGAGGATGTGGGAGATCTGGTGGGTTGACCAACTCAGCTAACACCTAGGTCCAGATTCAGGGCTATGAGTTGGCCTACCCTAACATCAACGCCAACTATGAACTGCTGGAGCATGAGAAGGAGCCAGTGCTGCAGCTCCAAAGCCACAGGGTCTCCATGGCACAGGGCAGCAACAGGATATCCGAGAGGAGTCCCAGTGAGGATCCAGTATTGATAGCATAACAGAAGCCAGAGGCCTTAAACCAGACTAGTGAACATTTGCAAATAAAGATATATGGACTAAAAAAGAAAAGAAATACAGTGGCAAGCCCCTGATTTAAGAAGGAGATGACCAAGTTGGATTTGAATTTTAGAATAGTTACCCTGGATAGAGGTCAGTGAAAGATCCTAGGAAAACATGGAACATACTCCACGACAGAGAGGTTTCTGGTGGCCAATCACTGGAGGTGTGTGTGTTTTCTGTGGCTTTAGGCCAGGGTGCATTTACAACGGGAAAGTCTGAGAATGATGTGTGCCCACAGGCATCCTTTGTCTACATGGACACACAATCATCTCTGGAGCCCCAGATGTGAGCCACAAAAAAAATCTAACATATTTGTTCTGTGTGTACCAGAAGTGGGGATCATTTTTTCTAAAAGAGTGGTCAGGACAGGGTTCCAGGAAAAGGCACTGACATCCTGGGATCACCATGCATTAGATATGGGGGTCTTGGGTGCATGACTTCTAGCTTACCCAGTGGCTAAATGTATATGACATGGTTGTAAAACTAGAGTGACCCCCCAGAAATTCCTTGAGTTGCCATAACCTTTAATAATTTGCTTTCCTTTCCACTGTAGGCACACCTGGATCCAGAAAAGGATCAGAGAGCACAGGAAAGTATATGCTGTTGCTCTAAGATCCCTCATTTTCAGAGAGGACACTAAGACCATGGCCCCCCTGGAACATAGCACCAACCCCATCAAGCAGAAACAGATACTCCCAACCCAACCACACTGTCAGGTACCAGCTACAGGCTGGAATACCATGTGGGGCAGGAAGTGTTCTAAGGCTACTACATACCCATCTGAGACCTTAGGCAAGTCCACTGACCCTCACAGGGAGCCTGGACCCATTCCCCATAGGCATATCTTGGTAAAATTCCTGGACTTAGTGAAAACCTGAAAGCTTACAGAGAAGTTTACTTATAAGGGGAAGAATCAACCTGGCTGGAAGCTATGGTGCCTTTAGATTACAGAGGGAAGTCCACAGCTCATAAACCTGCCCCAAACACACCAGCATCACATCAGGGTGATTGGATGGAATCTGCAAGTTTGGAGACATTTAAGATGCACAGTCATGTAGGAAATACCACAGAGGAAAGCAAGTCTATCAAATTGGGCAATAGTAGGTTTTAAAGCCAAAATTCTGACGCATCCTTAAAACCAAATGACTTTTAAAATTAAAAACAGGGGCTTGAAGGATGACTTAGTGGTTAAGAGCACTGGCTGCTCTTCCAGAGGTCCTGAGTTCAATTCCCAGCATCCACATGGTGGCTCATAGCCATCTATAGTGGGCTCTGATGCCCTCTTCTGGCACATGCAGACATAGCACTCATATAAATAAAATAAATAAATCTTTTAAAATAATAATTAAAAATAAAAATAGAAATTGAAAACAAAGGCTAAGATGAGATAACAAGGAAATGAAAATGAGATGAGGTAGAACAGGGTGGAAAGAGACAGTGGACTGCTCTTCCAGAGGTCCTGAGTTCAATTCCCAGCATCCACATGGTGGCTCATAGCCATCTATAGTGGGCTCTGATGCCCTCTTCTGGCACATGCAGACATAGCACTCATATAAATAAAATAAATAAATCTTTTAAAATAATAATTAAAAATAAAAATAGAAATTGAAAACAAAGGCTAAGATGAGATAACAAGGAAATGAAAATGAGATGAGGTAGAACAGGGTGGAAAGAGACAGTGGACTGCAGTGATAGGATACTCTTAAATGTTAGTGAATAAGTAACCTCATACAGCCACAGACACCAGAAATGGCAACTAAATAGGGAAAGCAGACATGAAAAAACCAAGTGAACCCCTTAAGATATATTACGGGGCTGGAGAAATGGCTCAGTGGTTAAGAGCACTGGCTGTTCTTGCAGAGGAGTGGGGTTTGGTTCCCAGCACCCATGTGGTGGCTCAGAACTCTAACTCCAGTTCCAGAGGATCCAGAGCCCTCTTCTGGTATCCTTGGGCACCAGGCACACATACAGTGTCCATACATACATACATACATACATACATACATACATACATACCACTCATACACATAAAATAAAAATTAATTTTTTCTAAATATGATTTTAAGTATTCCTCTTTTAAAATAAAAGGCTATAACAGGGAGTATGTTAAAGAATGTAACTATGCAGTTACAGATGATTTAGACTCACATTTAACAGCATATATCTTATATTGTCGTTTGTCAACATCACCCATAAACATCACAACAAAAAAGTTTTCATAAAGCATAAAGGTCTTATTTATTTTTAAAGATTTATTTTTATTTTTCAAATTATGCATATGCACATGTATCTGAATGTGCTTTTGTGCATGTGTATGCAGTGTCTTCAGAGGCCTGAAGATGTGGATCTCTGGACCTGGAATTACAGGTGGTTATGAGCCACATGATACAGGTGCTGGGAACTGAACTTGGGTTCTCTGAAACTGCAATATAGGGTTTTAAACACTGAATCATCGCTCAGCTTCCTAAAAGATAAGATTTTAGAGACATCTATTTTATCCTAAAACAATCACGAGAAATAAAGTTAAAAATTACTCTTCAACTTTAAAAAAAAAATGGAGACGAAGAAATCCATAACAAAGCTGGGCATGGTAGAGCATGCCTTTAGAGGCAGAGGCAGGCATTTGAGACCAGCCTGTTCTACAGAATTAGTTTTGGGACAGACGGCTACACAGAAAAACCCTGTCTTTAAAAAGAAAAGGGAGGGAGGGAGAGAGGGAAGGAAAGAGGCAGAAAAGAAATGCATAACAAAATCACCCACATACAGAATAACTAATGAAAGCAAGCCTGTTTCATTTCAAAACCTCTGTGCAAGGCGAAACACATACACAAAGAAACTGACAGTAAGAACAAAATAGAGAAGTAAAGGTTCTTGACTACATAAAGCAAACAGTAAGAGCAATAACCTATGTTTTTATCTCTAATAAAGTAAAGACAATCACTGTGAAAAAGAGGGAGATAGTAAATCCTATCTGAGACTAGTAAAAATAATAAAGATGACAAGCAACTAGGAGGCTAAATACAATGCTTTTGGGAAAAGTGAATAACGACTGACACGAAGATGTCACAAACAAAACATAAGAAATTCATGTGATCATATACTAAGTATATTTGCAAGTTTTCTGTTTTGTTTTGTTTGGTCTTTCAAGACAGGGTTTCTCTGTATAGCTTTATAGACCAGTCTAGGCTGGAACTCAGAGATCCACCTGCCTCTGCCTCCCGAGTGCTGGGATTAAAGTCATGCACCACTCCGGCCTGGCCATATATTTGCAAGTTTTAAGGTCTTTTATATAGACCAAACTCTTTACAACTATGCAGACTCCCAAAGAGTATATAATACAGATTGTAACTGGCCTGTAAAGAGCAAATAAGCCACTGCCACTCCTGAATTACAGATCTGGACACTTCTACATTAGCTTAACAAACCATCATAACTCCACAGTAACATTATACCAAAAACCATTACACCGAACTCAGTAATATAGATTCAGGAAACACTAAAAAATATATTGGTAAATATACCTAATTTGTGAATATGTATCAAACACTCTAGTGTTGAAGTAACACTTCATGACTGAGCAGACTGTATCCAGTTGGGTAATGGACCCTGCAGGTAAGCACTCACAGCAACCAACTAAGGGAGAAGCCACAAAATGGTATCAATGGATGAAAATGTCACACACACTCATTAACAAAAAATTATAAAAATAAGATGGGTGATGGTACTACACTGTACCTTTAATCCCAGCACTTGGGAGGCAGAGGAAGGCAGGTCTCTGTGAGTTCCAGGTCAGCTTGGTCTACAGAATGAATTCTAGGACAGCCAGGGCTACACTGAGAAACCCTATTTTTTAAAAAAAGAAATAAAACAAAAACAAAAATTTTAAAATCAATGAAACTGGCCAATCTCATTCAAAGCGATGGGATGCTAAAGTCATTTTAATTAAAGTCTGGACCAAATGGGAGGTCCTTCAGCCTGTCACCTAGACTGCTTTAGACTGTCAAATGCAGTGTGCCAAGACGAATATGTAGTTTTTTATTAACACTGGGAGGAAGATATTTTGATTTTTCAAAAACATTTGCAAAACTCGGCCAGGCGTTGGTGGCACATGCCTTTAATCCCAGCACTTGGGAGGCAGAGGTAGGCAGATCTCTGTGAGTTGGAGGCCAGCCTGGTCTCCAGATCAAGTGCCAGGATAGGCTCCAAAGCTACACAGAGAAACCCTGTCTCGAAAAAACAAAAAAACAAACAAACAAACAAAAAACCATTTGCAAAACTCAAGACATTCTAATTGACAGTGTATTTTTGAAGCAATAGACTTTTCTCTGCACCAATCATACCAGTTAGAGGTGAAATGAATAGACAGTGTGCCATCCGATAGGCCTGAGGTGTCTCATCTTTAGCTTCATATGTGGGTCATGCCATTCGTTCCCAGTTTCACATCTATGCAGTCATGCACTGTGCCCCTGCCTGACTTGCCATCCTGAGCATGTCTCCACATCATAAACTTATTGCCCTTTGAAACCCAGCTCCACTCTCACCTCTTGAGATTTCTTCTCCTTCTGGATCAATTCCCGTTTGATAAACTTCCTCTGGAAAGGGAGAAGGGGAAAGATTGAAAGGAAGGGGCAAGGAGGAAGGAAGCCAGGCAGGAAGGCAGCTGAGAAGGCTGGGAGAGTGGAGGATGGGATAAGGTTAAGGAGCAGCCCTGTAGGCACTCTCGCCAAGACCTCGGATCAGCTGTGAGGGCCCATTCATACTTCTAACTCCCTCTTCCCCCATGCTCAACTCTTCCCAGTCCCAGAATCTAACTCCCTGGGGGCATCTTCCAATTTCAGACTTAGACATCAAGGACGTCATAGCCCTAGAAACCAACACTCGAGTAAGCCCATATCGCAGACAAAGCTCCATAGATCCAGTGCTTCAGGAAACTATGTTTGGCGCACGGAGGGTGGGCCTGCTGAGAGACTGGGCAGGCAAGGCTCCTGACGAACGAAAGCTGAAGAGCCTCATGGAGAAGGGCACAGAGCCCAAGATGGAGATAGCCAAGATGCTGAAGCCAGAGGAGGTGCTGAGCTGCCGGTGAGCACCACTGGTGTGCATGGGCAGGCCTAGGACAGCAGTGTGTGAATGCATGCCTGCCTGAACATGGAGTGGGGTGAGCCTAGGACATCAGGCCATAGGCCCACACTTGGACATGGAGGGAACAGGACTAAGTCAGCAGTGTGTGAATGCATTCTTGGACATGGAGGGGGCCAGCCAACCCTACCTGGCTCTAGCTGGCAAAGGATTGTTATAAGGCTAAAACCCTGGGTTTCCCAGCAGTCTTTACTGCCAAAGGCCCCAAGTAATATATTTACTCCTATTAAAATTCCCCTGGTGGGCCAGGCAGTGGTGGCGCATGCCTTTAATTCCAGCACTCAAGAGGCAGAGGCAAATGGATCTCTGTGAGTTCGAGGCTAACCTGGTCTACAAAGCAAGTTCCAGGACAGGCTCCAAAGCTACACAGAGAAACCCTGTCTCCCAAGGGGGAAAAAATCCCCTGGTAGACAGCCAGGTAGGGGCCACCATTTTGAGCTCTGCCTCTGGAAATTCAATTTTTCCATTTGCTTCACAACAGAAGCCATAGAGATTCATCAAAAGGAAAATACAGGTTGTCTGTGGCCTTTTTCTTGAGTCCCTTTGCTCTGGTAAATTTGGGTGACAGTATCTATATTGGTTGCTCTTTTGTTGCTCTAGTAAAGGCAACTTATATGAGAAGGAAGGGTTTATGGTTCCAGAGGGATGAGAGTCTGTCATGACAGGGACACCCATCAGCAAGCCCAGTAGCAGCAGTCCTGGAGGCAGGAGCAGGAAGCTGGGAGCTCCTATCTTGCACAAGCAAGAAACAGGGTGCAAACTAGAAGAGTGAAGCTTTAAACTCTCAGAGCCCACCCCCAGTGACACACTTCCTCCACTGAGGCCACTCCCTCCTAAACATCCCCAAGTAGTGCCACCCACTGGAAGATCAAGTATTCAAACACCAAAGCCTACAGGGACCATTTCTCATAGAGCCACTGTCCACAGTGACCTTCTGCCTTGTTTGGGGTTCAGATTCCCAGGTAGAGCCTGAACTGTTTGGTTTCTGTCCTCCCCTCTTCCTTTTTCACTGCTGGGATGGAACCCCAGGCCTTGCACGAGCTAGGCAACGTTCCACCACCGAGTCACAGCCCCACCTATCTCTTGCTTGCTCTCCATCCATACCATATCACCAGGTCTCCCTCTGTAAATACTCAAGGCAGGTGTCATCCTTAACTGACCTAACAGGCAAAGTTAAAAACCTTCAGCTGGGGAGGAATCAAGACAAAAGGATAACAGGGTCACCCTCAACAAGCTCGGAGCAATATAGCCATCTTGAGTGAAATACCAGCCACACTGCCCCATTGCTCTGAAAATAAGAGATGAAGCAGGCATGGAGGCAATAAGAGGCAACACCTGACCAACTGCCCTCCTTGCAGGAACAAGCAATGATGTGACTCTAATTGGCCCTGGCTCCATGGGCGGGTGTGGCTTCTTTCCCACAGAGAACAGTAGCACTGGGGCAGGTAACACGTGTAAAGTCACACCTAAGACAAGGCATAGTGCAGGAGGATCTTAAAGAAGCCACATGTGAAGGTGCCAGCCCACCCATACCTCCCCGGCAGGCTGCCATGAGGTCAGGAGAACTGGGGCTGTAAGCAAAAGCAATCCAGGAGTAGAACCCAAGCACAGGCAAGGCAGGAAGCCTGGCAATGGTGACATATCTCCTCCCTGTCACCCGTAACCAGCCAGCAGGTAGCTGGTAGCATCCACCCCCTACTAAAGCTGGGACCGTGAAGTCAGCAGAGTAGCACATACCTTCATCCCAGCCCTCAGGAGTTGAGACAGGAGGATTGTGTGTGTGTTTCACCTACACAATGGGATCCTGTCTTGACATAGATAAATAAAGTGATTAAATACAAAGTTGGCCCCAAGGTCAAGATTGACAGTGGAACCAGGCACTCTGTCTGGATCCCACAGCACAGATAGGATCGATTTCACTCCTCAGCAGAAATCAGGATTACAAGGCTTTCGAAAACATTTCAAATCAATGGCCGTGTTGTTTAACTGTGTATATTAAAGGAATACACATATGCCTGGGCCTGCAGCTTTGTGTATGCACACTCGGAGACCTCCAGCCTTGACTCAGATCCACTGCCTGCAGCAGTGCTCAACATACCACAATTCACCCAAATTAACACATACCCATACCCCACATTAGTCATGTACTCTTTCTTTCTGGTGCCATTTGAATCAAGTCTTCCAAATGGGATGGCCCATTCTGTACTGACTGCCACTCTGTTGATGGGATTGATGGGCTACCTCACTCCCCAGTGAGTACCTGTCCTTCCATAGCATAGCTTCTCTTGACTTCCATGGACTTCATGCTGAGTGTAGTGCTTGAGTCAATGAAAATTAGCCTGTTTTCTCTGGAGATAACCAGGGTGATGCCTGGCAGGTTGATTTCCAAGAGTTACAGTACAGTGAGCTCCTACCACCTCTGCCACCTTTGGGGTGTCCTATCAGGGACATACACAAGGAGGCAGGCCAAGTCTCTTGCTGGCCCCCTACTGCCCAAAGTCCACCCATCCTCCCACCATTTTTTGAAACAGAGTCTCACTGTCTGGCTGTCCCAGAACTCACTATATAGACCAGGCTGGCCTCAAACTCACAAGCCCAAAGCCAACCCCTTTTTAGTGAAAGTCAGCTCCCATGGCTCCTTGTCACCTCTCCCTAACTTCTCTTGAAGGTACCTGCGTTTGTCCAAGAACAACATCAAGACCTTGATCAAGCTATGCAAAGATGCAGGCATGGATGTGGACATCCACCCACACATGGTGGAAGCCGAGATAGACTCCAAGAAGATATTCGACCACCAACTCAGCACGGCACTCTAGCCATACCACCAGAAGCCCGTCCTATGTAGGCTGAACACCCTGCAGACTAGCTTCTCTAAACTACACCAGCAAACAAGTCAGACGCATCACCACTAGCTGGTGTCAGCTTTGTCCTAGGCTCTACCGGGTATCAACCCAGGAGTAACTGGGAAGAGAGCCCACTTTCAGAAAGTTTGCTGGGTGCCCTGGCATTGCCTGTACTCCAGCACAGGTGGAGGCAGGGGGATCAAGCGTTCAAGTTCAAGGCCAGCTTGGGGCTGTATGAGGCCCTGTCTAAAACACCAAAATGGGGTGTGGGGGTACAAAATTCTTTTAAACTGCTTCTTAGGAGAAAATGCTTTTTGAGCAAGAAAATGGGATTCAAGTCCCTAGAGAACTTCAGGGAGGAGAAAACATTGAACAGCTGTCTGGAGACACAAGCCACTGCCCTGTGAAGGTCATGGTTGTGTGGGGAACTGGCCCTCATGTGTACACCCGGTGCCTGAAGTCCTCTCATAAGGACTGACTTCATGGTAACACCAATTTATTATTCATCCTTTCCCACCAAGTGTATTACATGGCTTGCTGGATTCCTATGTAGCCCTCTGAGACCCCAGGTCCCACCCACAGAACCTGATCTGCTTGTTCAGAAGTTCTGTCCTACGTGTTCTGGGACCTGTGTGCAACACTAAGTTCCAGGGGGGAAAGCTAGCACAGTCCTCAGGAAAGTGTGCAGGGTAGGCAATCCCAAGAGGTGCTTGGGATCCTACTACCCCATTATCCCACCCACAGGGCTTATCGTTCCTTCAACAGAGGGGGCAGCCTGCACACAAAATGGAGTCAAATCCCTGGAGAGGAGATCTTAGTGAGCTGGAGAGGAAAGGCTTCCTGGAGGAAGAAGCTACTTTTGGGTTTTTTCTTTTGTTTTATTTTTTGGTTTGGATTTTTGGGTTGGTTTTTCGAGACGGGATTTCTTTGTGCAACAGACCTCGCTGTCCTGGAACTTGCTTTGTAGACCAGGCTGTCCTCAAACTCACAAGAATCCAAGTACCTCTGCCTCCCAAGTGCTGGAATTAAAGGCATGCACCACCACCATCAGGATGGAAGCTATTTTTATTGAGAAACAATGCCCAGATTTGTATGAGAGCCAGAAGGGCAAACAGAGAGAACAGAGCACACGAAGACTCAGAGGCCAGGAGAATACAGCAGTCAGGAACCTGCAGTTAAGTCTGGGTGGAGGGGACACTGGAAGCAAGAGCGGTGGAAAGAAATACCAGCCTTGCTTTGCCGCTCTCCAGTGTGTACCAGCTGTGTGTTGACCTGTTAGAAGGCTGAGGGCATGGTGTGAATGGGAGCAGGCATGTTCCTGCCTCTGTGTAACTTGAACTCTGTGGGGAGGGGGAGACTTAAAATGCTCATCAACAGAAATCCCAAAGTGCTACTATCCCAGGGAACTACAGACACAGCCCAGCATCCGAAGTGACAAGGACCAGGACCAGCCTCTCATATCTGAAGATGAGAGGGGAGAGTCAGGCCAGAGGCCAGACCTGCGGCCTTCTGTCTGGAGCTCCCATGAGGGGATGATACAGAGGAGTCAACCCCTAGGGCCCCTTAGAGAAAATGTTCATAGAAGGAAAGGAATATAAGGAGGAAACAAATAGCCCTTAAACAGAGTTTAGAGTCTCTCAATAAGCCTACAGATCCACTAAGCAGTGGTACTGTGAGTGGACTTGGCAGACCTAGGCTGTGTGCCTGTGTCTGGGCTCAAGTAGTATGTCAGCTAGGGCTAGCTGGTTTGGGGCAGTCCTATCCAGGATGGCTGTTCTCTGCCTTAACAGATAAGCCTGGGCTTATGTTAATGGAGTGTCTGTGTTCTAAGAGGTGGCAAGTCCTTGAGGACATGGGTCAGGACTATGACATAATTACACTGTGTTCTAGCTCATGCTGGTCTATAGTGGCCAAAGCAAGTGCCAAGGTTACCTTAGATTCAAAAGTTGAGACTGGCCTGGATCCATAAAAGGAAAGAATCAAAGTAACATTGCAAAAGACCTGGCTAGGTCAGTAGGTGTAAGAAACCAGCCATTGCTATGATTAACCAGAAAAATTAAACCAGGGTAATAGTATTGGGAGCAAATGAGGCAAAGCTGGAACAATCTGTCACTTGACTGGGCATAAACATAAGGGATAGGTCTTTGGGCCACACTTGAGTCATAGATTAGCTGAGAGAGAGAAAAAAGAAGGCCAGAGCAACTGATGCTCTAATTTAAAAAATAAACAGTGGGAAGGAGTCACACCATACAACAGGACTCACATGGGAGCCTTATGGGAAGAGGAGAGAGAAGGGGGCAGAAAGGAGGACAGAGAGCAGTCTCTGGGATGAGAGTGGTAGAGGAGAGAGAGAGAGAGAGAGAGAGAGAGAGGGAGAGAGAGAGAGAGGAGGGAGTGGGCAGAGCCCTTTTAAAAGGGAACATAGTGAATGTGCACAGGGGATGCTCTTGGTGGCTGCAGCTGAGGACATATCCTGTCAAGACCCCAAGGGCAGGCCAGTACAGATGCCTGAATACTAACAACTGATTCTGCTGGGGTTGGTTGGATGGGAGTCACCCTCAGCCCTTACAGTGTGATTCTGATGGTCAGCAAGGAACCAGACAGGAAAGTGTGGGAAGAGCAGGGCTCAGCAGGCAGGGGTACTGACATCAGGCAGGGGCACCGACAGCAGGCAGGGGCACTGACCATCCCTGCTCATGAGGCTTCCTGTTGCAGAGATTTCATGGCTTGGGGGGGGTCCAAAAATCAAGGCACCAATGTGACTGTACTCCTCCAAACACTAATGGAGATAGTCCTGGTCTCACTTCCTAAGCCACAGTGTCCCTGGCAGTGGGTCACAAGCCCTGCCTCTGTTGTCACATGGCTCACTTCTCTGTCTCTGTCTCATAGGTCATACCCAATTAGGGCTCACTGAATGATTCCATCTCAACCTGCCAATCTTAGGAAGGCCCTATTTCTAAATAAGGGTGTTTCAGGATTTCAGAAGATTTTTTGGTGAGAGATAATCCAAGCCATAGGACACAGAGATGGGGGAGCTGCAGGCAGAGTTCCCTCAAGGTCACTCCAAACTCATGGCAGAGCTCTCACTAGAACCCACACCCCACCGTCCTCTCCAATCTGACTCTCTCAGGCACCCTGTGTCTCCCCAGAAGGCTGGTGACCATGTGGCAGGACCCCACCCCACTATTCCTCACCGGACACCCAGAACTAGGTCTCAGGAGGATTCTCCAGTCCCCGGGTCCCCGTTCCTAAACTTGAGAATCTGTGAAGTGGCTTCACTAGTATCAGTGAAGGTTGAGCCCAGCTCCTGCTGATCTGAACCAGGGGACTCTGTGCCTCTAGGCCCTCTTCAATGGGGAACCGCCCAGACACACCTGGAGAGCAAAGCTGCCACTTGGGGCTCAGCCCCCGCTGGAAGGTAGCAGGCTGTGTTCTGCCTGCAGCTCAGGAGGCTCCATGGATGCTCTGTGAGGCCAGAGGTTTTCCAGGAAGGAGCCCACAGCACAGCTTCAGCTTCCTGATAACCTGGCCTAATAGCCCACAGTGAGTCAGTCCAAGCCCACAGTCCAGACAGCACAGAGAAAGGAGTATGCCCCAGCCAGCCCCAAGCTGAGCTCAAACAGTGTCACCCACAGTACACCAGGTCTTCCAAGGCCTCATAAACTCTGAAATTTCCTGTCAACGGTATGGTCACACCACTCTACCCAGAAGCAGACATACACATCCGAAACAGATTTGTTCTGTCACGACAATGGTGATGTGGCACCCCGGAAGATCAGGCCAGCCGCTTCAATATCCATGTGGAAAATGCATTGACCCTCGGCCTCCTCACAAGCAAAATTCAATTCCAGATGGAATGCAGGTGGTGGATGCTTCAAGAACAAACTTATCTAACTCTCTCCATGACCTTGGTGAAGGAAAAAAAAAAAAAAAAAACCTAGGAACACAAAAAGGCCCATAACAATGTGATGTATTGAAATGAAAATCTCTACTCAATGAAGGATGTCAGAGCGCCTGCTCCAAGGGGGAAATGAATGACAGTCCCCAGATGATCTAACTCCATGTATACATCAAGAACAGGATCACCAAACTGGAAACAGTCAAAAGTCGAGCTAGCATGTAGGCATTTCACAAGACAGGGTAGTTAAGTGACTAATAAACCTAAAACAATTCTCACTGTCCTAAGGATATATGAATGCTAAGGCACAAATAACAGTATATACAAATGAAATGCCACTGAACATCTAACAGGATGGCCACCAATGACAGTGACAGTTGCCTGTGGGCTGTATGAAGCAAGCAGAACTCTCACACATAACCCTGAATACTATAAGTTGGTCAACTACCAGGAAACTTCACATGCAACAACCCCATGTACACATACTCCATGGGCACTAGAGACATGCTAGCTGTTCATAGCAGCCTAGTTTGGCATAACCAAAGGCTGGAATCATATCTGGGACCCATCTATACTAGACCTGGGATCTGTTCACACAATTAACTACCATAGAGAAACCAGAACCCATGTAGAAATTGACCAGGCCAATCAAAACTACAAAAAGCACTATGCAAAAGTAGCAAAACTCAAGGGACTGTACCTTGATTCCTATTTAACACAGTCTTCAGCCAGTAACTAACAGTGTTAGAAGCCAGAGCGGAGTCCCCCTGTGGAATGCAGGATGGGGAAGACTCAATGAGTGGTTTCTTGGGAGTTTCGGCCTTTTGTGGAAGTGTGCCAAGCTTTAAAGTACATTTGGCAGAAGTGATGGATGGTTCGGTGAGTAAAGTGCTTGTCTTGTGCACATGAGGACCTGAGTTCAAGTCTCCAGCACCCATGTGAAAACTAGATGCAGAAGCACGTCTGTCATCCTGGGACTCCTGACTTGAAGACAGGAGAATCCCTGGAAGTCCTAGGTCTGCCAGCCTGGTGTACCCAACAAAAGATACTCTGTCCAAACAACATGGAAGATGAA